CCAATAGACCTGCACTTTCATCTTTCAATTCCTTGGTGAACCTGTTGAATAATTAAGCACATAATCCTGTGTGAATAACAATGATCACTCACATGTATGTCGCCCACGCAGTCAGTGCACTAAATCCAGGTGCTAAGAGCACACAGATATTTCGGATGTCAACAGGCAGGTTGATAGCTCTGAGGAAATTGTAGATGACACCGCTCGTCGCCATAAGACCGGGGTAGATTGTACCGCCAACCACGCGACCTAGCGGATACCAGGCGGTAGGATCGAACCAGTTCCAGAATTCCTACAGAGAATAAGATATAGAATAATATACAGATAACACGAACTCACATAGAAGCCTTGGGACGCTAACACTTTCGTTGCGCGACTATTGGGTTTCAGTTAGATTCCGCAGTCTGACGTTACTGGCGGACTCACTAGTTAAACCACGGATCGCTGCACATTATGATGAGCGATTGAGTAGTATACAAAGTTAAATAGCAACTCACAATTCATGGATAATACTCTCAAAGTTGATGACGGCGAAGAGACGGGAGGCAATAGCAGCTCCGGAGATGAAACAGAGAGCGACAATACGAATGAGCGAGGCAGTGTTGTTCACCGTCTCTTTCGAGATATTTGAGGGGAGCGAGTATGCAGTCGGCATTGCGGACTGCTGGGAGTATGCTCTATACTGCCAAGTGTGTTGGAATACGTCGACGTGTCGAGAGCTATAAACCGGTCGGCGTCTACGCGGGTTCCCTACGCGCCCACAACATTATTTCGGACTAGTACAGCCTCCTCTCCGTCTCTAACGACCTCGCAAGAATCCCGCGCGACGTTGCCCACCATGGACAAGGACCTCATCCAATTGGTGAACAAGCTCCAGGATACCTTCTCGAATCTTGGTTTGTCCTTTTTGCGTCCTTTGCTCGCAGTCACAAAAGCTAAAACCGCGCGCAGGAGGCGAATTGGACATGCCTCAATTGGTTGTGGTATGCTGCACGGAATAGTATACTCTATGGATGCTTTAGTGATCTTTTTCTAGGTGGGCAGCCAATCTTCAGGAAAATCCAGTGTTCTTGAAAAGTGAGTGCCCTTCTCCACCCGGCGACGTCATTTACCGACAAAAAATTAGTATTGTGGGCCGCGACTTCTTACCGCGAGGCCAGGGTATCGTTACAAGATGTCCACTTGTTTTGCAACTCATAAACACACCCGTTCCCTCCGACCCACCCCCATACACCGAGTGGGGCCAATTCCTGCACGTCGACAAGCGGTTCACAGAGTTCAGCGATATCCGTAAAGAAATCGAAGCAGAGACATTCCGTTTGGCTGGCCAAAATAAGGGAATCAGCAAACAACCTATTCATTTGCGTGTCTACAGCCCGAATGTGCTCGACCTTACGCTGGTGGATCTCCCCGGCCTTACAAAGGTGCGCAAACCTCGTCATTGGGTTATAATTAAGCTGATTGCCAGGCACATAGATTCCTGTGGGAGATCAACCAACAGATATTGAGAGACAGATACGGAATCTTGTTTTGGATTACATTTCGAAGCCAAACTGGTATGCTAGGACAGTTTCATTTGAATGTATCCTGATCACTATTTTAGCGTCATTCTCTCAGTTTCTGCGGCCAATGTCGATCTTGCCAACTCTGAGTCATTGAAGCTTGCTCGTTCTGTAGATCCCCAAGGCAGGCGGACGATTGGTGTCCTCACCAAGCTCGACCTGATGGACGCGGGTACCAATGCTGTGGATGTTCTAACTGGACGCGTATATCCGCTTAAACTTGGGTTCATCGGTGTTGTCAATCGGTCTCAGCAGGATATTAATTCGGAAAGATCTATGCCAGATGCGCTCAAAGCAGAGTCAGAATTCTTCTCTAGTCACCCTGCTTATCGCAATATTGCCCACAAACTCGGCACTAAATATTTGGCAAAAACGCTCAACCAGGTTTTACTGAACCATATTCGGGAGAAACTTCCGGACATGAAAGCGCGCCTGAACACCTTGATGGGGCAAACCCAGCAAGAGCTGAACGCGTTTGGTGATTCTGCAGCTTTCGACCGTGACTCTCAAGGACCTTTGATTCTCCGGCTTATGACACAATTTGCGCGCGACTTTGTCTCCTCAATTGATGGCACTGCGATTAATGTCTCTACGAAGGAGCTTTCTGGCGGCGCCCGTATTTATTATATCTTCAACGATGTTTTCGGCCACGCATTAAACTCGATAGATTCAAACCATAATCTCGATGTGCAGGATATTCGGACCGCTATCCGTAACTCTACAGGACCAAGACCAAGTTTGTTTGTACCAGAAGCTGCCTTTGATCTGTTGGTAAAGCCTCAGATCAAGTTACTTGAGGCTCCGAGCCTGAGATGTGTCGAGATGGTGTATGAGGAATTGGTTAAGATTTGTCATAACTGCACTAGTCGTGTAAGTGCAGATCTTGATTGCGGTAACAAAAAAATTTATTACTTGTTTGTTAGGAACTGCAACGATTCCCTCGCTTGCATGCCCAACTCGTGGAGGTCATCTCTGAACTGCTCCGCGAAAGGTTGGGGCCGACATCCGAATATACGCAAAGCTTGATTGAGATCCAGGCTGCGTATATCAATACCAACCACCCAGCATTTATCTCAGGATCGCAAGCTGCTGCCGTTACTACAAGGGAGGCTTATCAACAACACCAAGTGCAACAACAGCAACGGAAACCTACCACGCCTCAACGGGTAGGTGAAGAACACGATTGATTGAATAATAACTGATATATTCTCCACAGCCTCCGCCGTCCGACCACTTCCCCAGCGAGATCGAGTCTGACGAGGACGATGATGTCTCTTCTCCTCCACGACGACCTTCTACGAACGGTGTAAACCGCGATTCCCGCTCGGTTTCTGCTCCTTTACAAGAATTCAGACCATCGCGGTCTGCAGCACGATCGCAATCCGGTAACACTCGACCAGGCTCTCCCTCTTATTCAGCGCGCGATAGCGTTATGCGCTATTTCTTTGGACAAGGAGGCTCAACAGGAGGTTCTACCCCAGGTACCATGACACATGGAACTGCACATGTTCACCACCATCATCACCATTCGTCACACACGCAAACGCAGACGCAGATGCAGACGCAAATGACCTCCACGAAGTCTGTCACTGAAACGTCAATGGTGAAATCAGAGCCTTCCGATGCTATGACATTGTCGACGATGGATGGTAGCAATGTTGCTTTCGAGATGAAGAGTTTGGAAAAGCACATTGAAGCTGTAAGTATTCACGTCTGAGTCGTCGCGCATTTCCTGACTTGTTTCTTTAGAATCCTTCAGAAAACGGTCCACTCGTCCTGTCTCCTCGAGAGGAGATGGAGACATCGCTAGTCCGATCCTTCATTGCGTCATACTTTGGCATAGTCCGGCAGATGATCCAGGACCTCGTCCCCAAAGCCATTATGCATTTCATGGTCAACTATACATCAGAGCACGTGCAGGCGCGTCTTGTTTCCTCGTTGTATAAGCCTGAGCTCTTCCCAGAGCTGTTGCACGAGGATGAGTATATTATTACGGAGCGTACGCGGGTGAAGGCGTTGCTGGAAGCGTACAGGGAGGCATTTAAAACATTGTCGGAGATTAGCATCAAGTCGTCATAGATTAATTTCCTTGTTGTTTGGTACATTTACATATACATACACGCCTCGACTTAGTGCAATCGAGAGCTAGGAATAAAAAATATCCACTTACACAAGTTTTGCTTTCGGTTGTGTCCTTGGAACTCGAAGCGCCCGCTGACTCAGCAACTGCAATAGCTGCTCCCGACAAAGTTCACACACCCTCCTCCTCCGCCCTCAAGACCCCCGCCGCCGCAAGGTAAGCTTTGCGAAAGTTCCATGCTCTCGTCGTTGTTGTTAACTCCTGTTATCTTTAGGTTAGTATAATGTAAGTAGAATTGGGTAATTCTTTCGACGAAAATTCTCACTTCGCTACGCGTCTGCAGCATTCTCCATGGCCCAGCGTGTCACCCTTCGCAAGCGCAATCCCTACAACACCACCTCTAACAAGAGGAGGATTATCAAGACCCCCGGTGGCAAGCTCCGTTACCACCACATTAAAAAGTTAGCCAGCGCACCCAAGTGCGGTGACTGTGGTATTGCCTTGGCTGGAGTGCGTTTTCTGCCTATTGGATTCATTCTGATTCATAACAACATTTATTCGTGTAGATTCCTGCTCTCCGTCCTCGTCAGTATGCGCTCCTCTCCAAGCGTCAAAAGTCCGTGAGCAGGGCGTATGGTGGTAGCCGTTGTGGTGACTGCGTCAAGTCGCGGTACGTTTAAAACTCTCTGTCTCATTGATTACATTCTCATGTTGATTTGCTTTTTTCTTCTCCAGCATTGTCCGGGCGTTCTTGGTTGAGGAGGCAAAGATTGTCAAGAAGGTCATCAAGTCGCAAGCCAAGCCTGCACGGAAATAGATACTGGGTCGTAATTCTTGCTGAGGAGGCCATGATGAATGTTATCACACGTTTTCTCTCCTCTGCTACCACTTTGCATGCATTCTACAGCCCAACTATGTATTCACCTTTACTTGCATGATGTCAAAATAACGGCTAACCAAGCCATATGCGACTATGATATGAATGGTCTTTTCTATCCTCTTCTCTGCTATGATTGTTTTGTGTTTAGAATGCAAATGGCGAAGGACTCCATTCCTTGAACATATCGCGAAATATTTCCCTGGTGCTTCGTCATTAGCGCTTGTGTAAAGTTAATGCTATGCTCCCACGACTGAAGGACAAAATTCTTATGCAAACCTATTAGCCAAATGACTAGGAATATTAAATAGGAGAATATATGTTTAATATATCAGTATAAGGCAAGTACAAGGCAACAAAAGTATCGTGAAAAACGCAGGGAGACCGTAAATTATCGGCAGAAAAGCACGAAGCCTCAGGCTCTCTCGTGGGACAATGTTTGCCAGCGCGATGCCTTGGGACGCAGAAACAGCAAAAGAGTTGACCCCATCCCGGATTGAACGGAAGACCTTGTGGAAATTCCTTAACTGGAATCACACGCTCTACCACTGAGCTATGGGGTCTAACTGTGAACTCTGCCTGACATCCATCAGTGTCAGACGATCCTTCGTCTCTCACTATTGGGGCAACCACCTTACACATACAATAAAGCGTGCTATCTTAAAAGAGGCGGCTTCTACTATGAGAGCAGTCAAACGAAAGAAAATCCTTCCCCACCGCATGGCTGAATCACGGTGAAAATTCAGGGAAAGATTTCGTTCATGATCTTGAGATTAAGCTCACTATTGTCCCATGTGGTCCCGCTTAAGCATATTGATAGATAAATAGTCTGATTGCTGTGGAAGAGATGGGGATAGACAGGTGGCAGGGAGGAGGGGAAAGCTCAGTTCGCGTGCAATGAGTATGGCAGTGGCGGGCCTCCACCCATCATAGAATCTAGAATCACGCTGCGGGTTAGGCAGAATAGACGTCAGAGTTCCGTGTATCGACGCATAGAGCTACGAATTAGTCTGGTCACCCGAGTATTAAAACATCTAGAAGCTACCTTTGGCCTGATTCACCGAAGGGGGATAACAAATCAGCTCGTCGGGCCCCAAGATATAAATCAGGAAGATTTGGCGGAAAGATACGTCCAGCCTGGATTATAAGGATTATTCCTAGATGAGGGGTGAGTAGAGAAAAGAGGCTACAACACCAAAACCTGGCTGATTTGAATTCACGATGAGATGGTATGCAGAGAAATCGGATGTACTTACAGTACAAAGATTAATAGAGATGCCGCATACTAGATGATAGAGTTTCGGTTTGCTTAGTGCTAGCCTTATAAATCTTAAGCACGTTTGTGATTCTCGACATTCAACAATGCGTTGCAAGGGGTTTGGGACGCCTTTGATAGTAGTGCGGGAATAGTGGCTCAGAATATCTAAACGATGAAGGCGTTGCAAGGGGCCTTCACCCTCTTTCAGCGCGGAGATTATCTTCAGTGATTTCTGAATGTGTAAGGACATGAATAGTAGGCATACCTAGACGATGTCGCGGAAGACACCACAATAAAGGGCCGCTTACTATTTATATCTTCATGTCGTATTATTCAAGAATCCATGAATAACAGATCGTCAAATCATGAGACGTTCTCCTGTCCATCTTAATTTTGGAAGGTCTGTCAGCTCTATTAATAAAAGCATTACCTTATGAACATAAATAGAAGGGTTTAATTCAGGATATAATTCCTTGTTTTTGAATTTTCAGATGAAAATCTCAGATTTTTCGGTTGAAGATAGAGACCATCCCATATCTTCATTTCTGTTTATTCCTTCTGATTTTTTTAATAATTTCTTTCTCTCTGCTTCACCGTCTAGAGCACATGCTTTAAAGCGGGTCATCAGAAGAGTAGAAACTCGGGACAGTAAGAATCAAAGAATACCTTTGGCTAACACATCATGGTATGATGGTCCCTAGACTGTCAGTGGCGTACCCACTAGTGACGTTAACCGCTACAATGCCCGGCATGTCTCCACGCTACATCATCTGAATACAGCCTTCAGAACTTTTTAAAAGTGATATGAGAATGGAATTTCGACACATTCTTGATTGATAAACAGAAAGGGGTTTCATCGAGCTGAAAAATGGAAGAAGATGGGATGTCAGCTGTTTTCTTCACTGAGACAAGCATGAATTTGATACTTACAAAGGAAAGTGATTTTGATGATATTATTGCATGGGTAAAAATTCGGTTAGTACTCGTTGACGAAGTCTTATGACAGTTTGCGCAGCTTACTCAGGTACGAAGTTCGCTCCAGACATCAAAGTAAGCCATTGGGCGACTTTCTAAGTAGTAATATCCATATCCCAAGATGCATATTGTCTTTGGCCAGATATTAACGAAGAGTTTATGAGGATTTGTAGTTATCCTTGGTCCTGGATCTGATGAACATTGATGGTACGGCGAAAGCTTGAAGTCAACTCCGAGCGTCTAACTGTTCAAGTCTGTCTTAGTCTGTCATACATAGACGATAGACTTTGACGATCCCTTGATCCTGATCCTGATCTGCTTTGTTTTCTTCTCTTCTATGTCCGTCGTTACTATGCCAGTCCGTAAATAGCTATGAAGAGGCAGCCAGCGGATCCACCGATTATAATTTTCCCTTTCCAGCGTTACGCCGTCTAAGTATTCCCTGGTATGCCGGAGATTCCGTGGTCTCGCATTTAACATCCTGTACTGATTTGAAGGGTTTGGAAGGGTGTCTCGGTCTTTACCCTGTAGGCAAACTGTGCACGCTTTACCCTTATTATCGAGGACCCAGCCTCGCAGGGGTGCCGGCACAGTATTCTGAATCGATTCAATCAGATTAGACCTGATTAAACTAAATACCCACAGATCTTTACGAGCAGAAGCCGCCACCTACAGCCATTGATGCCAACTATATATGCATAGCGAGCAAATAATAGAGAGGAACAAAGAAAGTAGGTATGTAGCTCGTTCCTGACTAAATATACTTAGAGTACAATCCTACTAGTTACTTCACGGCTCGGCCGCAATTATTATTGCTCAGCCTTTCCTTATCCAGTCGGAGTCCTTAATGCCTCGGGCAGGAATGGTCAGGCCTCCGCTGGCCTCCGACGGCCTGAAGGCGATGCCACTGGGCCACTGGGATGCCTTTTTTCTTTCGTTTGTTTTCAATCTCAATCCATAAATGAACTTTTCAGCTCGCTTGACTCGCTTAGCAGCATGTCCAGAACGCTTCTTAAGTCGAAACCCCACACCATCTATCGGAACTTCATCTCATAAACGTTGGATTAATATTTTGAATGACAGATCCCCCGTACGCGAGATGCCCGGCCAGTAGTGATCCGTAGGACTCTACTTGCATTGGGAGGTTCACCCCCTCTGGGCTATGGACATTTTTGGTTGATCTGTGGCATATAAAAGCTGGCCAAGATAATAATTCTTTCCTCACTTGCCTAAGGTACTCCAGCCTTTCCAGCAGTTGCTCGCACAAAATCCTCCCTATTATATCCCTCTAATTAAATCGCCATGCACTTTCCTTCCCTTGCAATCGTCCTTTCTTCTGTCGCCGCACTTGCAAGTGCTGCCCCCTCTGCAAGCTGCAAACTCGCGGATGTCCAAGTTCCCCTCAATGGCAGCTTAGTCGCTCCTACCGGCTCTCTGGAATTTGTTGCAGTATGACAATCACTACCTATATGCTTAAATGTTTACTCATTCTGTCACTAGCTCGGTGTAGGTACTCAAAACTACTCCTGCAGTGCTGCCGGAACTTTCTCGTTAGTCATTACCGTCATTACTTTTTAAAATCACTTTTCTGACTAGAGACACCCCAGATCTATTGGAGCCCTTGCAACTCTTTACGATGCTTCCTGCTTTGTCAACCTTGTCTCGGTGGTCACCTCCAAGTTCACAGGATCTTGTGAATTCGGCATAGCTGCCCTCCAGGGTGCACTCGGCCGAAAGCCCGTTGTGCTCGGTCACCACTACTTCATTAACAACCCCACCGGTGCAGCTGGAGTATCACCTGTATTCGACTTCAGAGCAGACTCCGAAAAAGGAAACCCATCCGCATTCGTCACCCTCTCTAAGACCGGTGATGTTCCCGCCCCTGTTAACCCCGCGACCAACGTGGACTGGCTGGATTTGACTGCTATCCCCGGCCAAGGGTCTTTGGCCAGCCAGGTTTATAGGGTTACCACCATTGGTGGACAGCCCCCTAAGACAGTGAGTGCATGTCTTTCCCAACTTGTTTCGCTAGATATCTTATGCGAATATTCAGTGTACTCCTGGCTCTGCGCCAATTACCGTACCTTATGCTGCGACTTACTGTGAGTTTCTGCCTGTCAAATCTTGAGAACGCTCCACTCACCTCGTTTTCCTTAGGGTTTTACAAGTAAATCAAAGAAGCAGCCGACACTCTTTCACATTCTTTTGATGTAGATATTTATCTTTATGTACATTCTTCCCCTCATCTATCCAACGACAATGGAAGCCAATGATACAGCAGTTAGTTGTAGTCATCGCGTGCGAGATTCCGAATGAACCCGCAGCCGTTCGAGTAAAAAACCTTGCATTCTGGTAACCCATTCCCAAAGTCTTCCATTGAAAAGCCTCAAGGTGTACGTAACTGGCAAAGCACTTATCATATATGCTCTACTTCGCGGGCACACGGAGAAGAACCCCTTCCACTCCCGTCTTGGTATTTAGACAACCGTGGGGAATCCCTTACACGAAGTCGTTCGATTCGGTAGGACTTCTCTCTACGCGAGAAAACGGAAAGACATTAGCCTAAATTTTCCGTCGGTCGATTCCCTTTTCACTTCAACCAGTGCGTATAGGTATTTCTGGTGGTATCTCCTGCGATAGACGGCCTACGTTATAAACATACCGGGGCCCATGCCGTTCATAACGTCACCTACTTGACACCTATGTAATTGAAAGCCATATCAAAATGATGCACCCCAGTGACAAGTAAATAACAGCTCGGAAGCTTCATTGAACCAAACCCGATTTAATTGAATAAATATAACCATAATTCTCCTCAGCGCTTAGATTTCGCTGTCTTTATCTGCGTGCGTGGATCCGGGAGGACGGATTAGACCCGGCGCATTGGCGCACGAACCAGTGGCTTCGACGCGGAAGTATATCGCCATAAAATTAAAATCACTCAATGAATGTCAGCACAGTCAAAGGGTATACATCCTCGAATTCCACAAATACACATACTAATAAATATTTTCTAAAATACGCCCTCACCAGCCACTACGGATAAATCTCCTTTATCATTTCCTGCCCCGCCAACCGCGCGCCGTTCTTGCCCCAATGCGAAGTCAAGAACGTCGTCATGAACTCGTATATTTCCCGGTTTGCATTCCGCGTTGAGATGCTGTGATCACTGGAAGGACATCAGGTTTATGCCAAGATGAGAGGAGCGTGGCATACCTATCAGTGAACATCCTAAACTCGTATCCTCGTACTTGATGCTGAGTAAACATGTCTATCATGTGCGCGGTATTCGCGAAGTGGACTGTAGAACATACACGAGCCAGTTAGCCA